TATCGACAAAATTGTTGTGTGAATACTGTATCGTATTCGCTAGTCTGAAAAATTTTCCTTTTATTACATGTAACAGTAAGAACAATAAAAAAAAACATATATATGAAAGAGTGGATAGTGATGAACAAATATTTAGAGGAGTTGTATTTTTGAGTTTTCTTCTCACTGGTAATAGATAGGAGGAATCTGAAAAAACAACATTTGAGTAGCTGAAATAATTCTTTGTCAGGATTCATGAGCCTTAAAGTTCTAATAAAACTGCTTAGATGAGGATATCTAGAAAATCAAAACCTTCAAAATCAATTTTCCAGCATTTATTTGAAAGTTTTTAGAAATGATTTTATTTGATAGAGTAATATGAAATGTCTCGGTTCTCTGCATAGCATTCCTTAATTGAACTGCATTCAGTTTGCAGAAGACTCAAGAAGCATTTTTCTTTTGTTTTTATGAAAAATTTCAATGATTTTGCCTTATTTGACGCTTTGGAATCTCCTATAAATTGAATACAGTTCGATGAAGGAAGGTCACAAAGAGAGTTAAGATATCTCATTTTGCTCAGAATTATTTGCTATATTAAATAAAACCATTTCTAAGAACTTTCAAATAGCTAGTTTTGGAGATCTTGATTTTCTAGACATCCTCATCCAAACAGTTTTATTAGAGTTTTTAGGTTCACCAATTCTGATAGAGAATCATTTCAGCTACTCAAATGTTGTTTTCTCAGATTCTTTCTAGTCACTACCATTGAGAAGAAAACACAAAAATACAACTGCTCTAAACTTTTGTTCACCACTACATCTTTTAGTTGGTCGGACTGGTGTTTTACTTATAGTCATTAATAATCTCATCAAATCAACAAAATTCAGTTAGTTGAATTATGTATAATAAAAGAAAATCTTTTATTATGATATGATTCATCGTCCATATAAATTAATTTAGTTTTGCATGAATTTGAATATTGTTGTAATAAGGAAATTGCTTTTTGAAATTTCTTGTCAAAATGCTCACCATAAATAAGATCGATTGAGCAATAAATTCCATTGAGTATGAAATTTGCTAGAACAGTTGAATCATGTCCTTCAATATCACTTTTCATCATTACTTTTGATGAAGTAAATCCAGGAGGTATTTTTCGATCTAATACTGTTCTTTTAAACCAAGATACAATATCAATACTTGGTACAGTGATACTTGCTTTCTTTCTGCTTCTTTCTAAGCTTGCACCCCATTGATTATTTGCTTCATTTCCTGGTTCGATATAAAATGTGAGATTTGTTTCTATAATACTAACAGCAGTCGATGTAAAAATCTTTACACGCCAATTGCGTTTTAAACAATAATTTTCAAATTCTTTTAAATAATTGTCATGTATAGGATTTGCTTCAAAACCAACAGAACATACTTCATTTGAATGATTTCCAAAAATTTGTTCAAAAAGCGGTAAAACTCGGGCATTTGGATATAAATGTGGTTCATAAAGTTTTCGAATTTGTATTCCAATATTTGTTCCTATATCGATGTAAACATATCGACAGCCATCTAGAAAATTTTCTCGCGGTATGTAAAAAATCTGCG